TAGCCGAACATTCCAGGTCGACTGTTCCAGAAGCCAGCGCGAGTACATAAGGGACTCCGCGTGGCGATATGCAGTCAGTCTCGCCCAGACTTGTGCCTATCTCAAATACTCTACTCAAGATACTGTATCTTAAATACTTTTTGAAGTATCTTGGTATCTTGCAAATACCTTTGATCGAGAGTATTTGATACTCTATTTTAATTACAATTCCGAGGATCTTGTACTTATTATCTTAAATACGTTTTTCTCATTCCGCCATTTTCCGAGTTTTTCGGAATGAAGTGGCGTGGGCGTGGCACGATCAAACGTGAACATTCTTTCGAGCAACCAAATCCTGTTGCTAGCTCCGATTAGCTACGATGACTTTGACTGAGCTCGTGAAAACATCGCTTTTTTGCCGACTGTGACAGATATTTCAGCCCGAAGTTTGTACAGTGAAGGTTCTCCCCTCGCCTTCCCAAAGGTGCCTTTTATTTCTATAAAGTTTCCCCCCAAAAAATCCTCAAATAAAAGGTGTGACTTTACGGAAGTAAAGATTCCACCCTGAGGCGCAACGCAGACCGAGAAACGACCCACGACAACAATGCAGACTTGAGTGTCAAGAGAATAACAAATAGAAGATAATGAGAAGTGGACACACACAAAAAAGTAGGCATTTTTGTTTTGCTCTTTGTATATTTGACCCCGCTAAGGCAAAACGTCGAGGTTCTTTTTTTGTGTGTGTGTTTGTGTTGTCAGTCCGGCACTTTTTTCTCTCGCGAACATTGAGAAGCAGAGAACAGTTCAGAAAACAAACTACGAGCTGGATGACCTCTCAAAATGCCAACAAAGTGCCCCCCAACGTAGCGCCTTTCCGAACGCAACCTACTTGAAGAAGGTGTGACCACTACCGTGGCTATTATGTGGGTTCTCTTTGTTATCCATTCACTCATATCCGTGTCTCAAGTTCGTTTATCGCAGGACGTGATAATCAGCGATGTCACTATTGGCGAAGCGCTCTGGCCCGTTTGTCGCCCCCACACCTCGGTGTATACCCAACAGAAGGCCTGTGCACATGCCCACAGGCCTTGTGGGCATGTTCATGTCATCTTTTTTTTAATAGAGAGCGGGGCACAGTGTAATGCAAAAATACCAACAATTAGTGAAGGGACGTTAAGTGCCGGATCTCTCCCGAAAGCAGTCGTCAGAGCATGCGAGCTTGACCCACCTCGGTTTTTGTGCTGATCTGAGGACCGTGCATGCTGCATAGTTCATGCAGGCCGGAGTGGTAACGAAAGAGCCCCTCCTCCCCCTTACCAGAGAACACGCACTCCAGCCGAACGCTGACGCCGCGTTCGGTTAAGTTAGCCGAGCGCTGAGCCATTGTATTTGTTGTCCCCATCCACCTAGTTCTAAAGTTAACAGCTTGGGGCGCCACGGTCTGATCTCCTCCGGCCTCTTTCTTGTTGTCCGAGAAATGTTTTGTTACATCTATCAGTGATATTACCACGCGCGTTGCCCAGCGAGCGCGTGGCCGAATGGTTAACGCGCTTGGCTCTCGCGCGAAGGCTCCGGAATCGATACCAGGGAGCGGACTCCTCTTTTATTTATTCTTTCGACTTGACATTATCGTAAGTTCCAGAACCTTGTCGTCTGATCGAGTTACGAATGTTCTACGCGCCGAACTTTCTACGCCGAATGTTCCATAAACCTACGCGGGTACGAAAGGTGCTCCGAGTGGCGGCCTGGAGTCACTCTCGGCCCAGCGCTCGATCTTGCTGTTTCGCCGACATCGACGCCTGCGACGCTAGCCTTTGTTTATTTTGTTTTTGGCACAAGTTCGCCCCATTAAACTTTTAGTTTGTTCAGTTATTCGCCGCCTCATCATTTGCCATTCGTGACAATATTTTGCTCCTTATAGTAGGACTGCATAAAATAGCCCTACGATACTTTTTTTTCCCGTTTTGTATTGTTGCGTGCTAGTAAACCATTCTGGTAACCCAATTTTGCGCATGTGTATAACTGTTTGTCACTGACGTCGATACAAATTACGCAATGCGGAAGTATCTTCAAAAGTAATTGATTTACAATTCTAAGTATTTGCACTCTACTCAAGATACTTTACAGTGAAAGTAACTTGAGTAGTATTTTAAATACTTTATGAAGCAGGTATTTAGTAACTTAACCTAAATACTTTTACCGAGTATTTTGTCCAACACTGGTCTCGCCCCAGCGTTCGACCCTGCTGTTACGCCGACTTCAACGCTCTCCTGTTATCTCTTGTTTGCTTTTTATTTTTTGGCACGAGTGCGTCCCATTAAACATTTCAGTTTCCCCCCCCCCCCCCCCCCCAGTTATTCTTTGTTTCTTTGGCTGTTCCTTTGTGCTTGCCTCCCACGCGTAATTCCCGGGAATCGCGAGTTACGCGTGGGAGTTACGAGTTACGTTATATATATATATATATATATATATATATATATATATATATATTCACCGCGGAAATTGCCTGCGATGTGCAAACACCGACGTGGAGTTCGGAACGTGATATCAACAGCGGAAGGATACGACGTCCTGGCGTCGAACGGTTATGTGACGGAGCCTCTACACCCCTGTGGGGAGAACACTGTATACGGTCGGGTGCTGCCCGCCTGCACGACGACGACGAGGGCGAAAGGGCTGCCGGCAGGCCGAAGCCACGTGGGAAGTATACGCTGGAAGTGTGTTTATAAAACGTGGTGCGAGCACTCGGTCGGGAATATTCAGAACGTCCCGGAATCGTCCATGCAGTTCTCGTTGCCGTTTTGCGGTTGTGAAGGGTCTATATATTTAGACGATGAATCGGTAAGTTACCACTGACAGCTGTTGAACCGGGGTGATCCCAGCGGCGCCGTACGTACACCTTGACACCTAAAACTTACGGCCGTCGCCTGCTCACCTAGTTTGTTCGGTCTGACCGCGACGTTGGAAGCTACCTCTCCAACTAACCAACATGTAGCACAAAACACTGACGGACAGCCAATCGCCGGAATCTACGGAGGGATCTTGATGAATTACGGGGCCAAAAACATCTTGACCTGAAGAATAATATAACAGTATCCGCTGCGACAGTCAGCATGAAGTTTCACGGCTCGATGTCACAGCCTACAGTACGCTGTCTTTTGCTTTTCTTAGGTTTAAACACATTTATTAGCCTGATCATTCACCGAGCTTCTTTTTCTCAGGTTGCAGCCAATGGCTCTCCGGAGTGTTTTGTGGGGATCTAGACGCTGCAGACCCCTTAGTGTACCGGTTTGAGGGGTATACGACGGCCTATATCAGCGGCCCGGGAGAAGCAATGTTGCATGGTATGGTAGCTGAGCGAATTGCCCAATCCCTAGCACTCGCTCATGGTGCTCTGACGGTCGCATGGCAGGAATATTGTAAGTTTGGAGTGAAAATAAGAAAGAAGAGAACGAGGATATAAAGCCCTAGACGTGTCTGCTAAGGTCACTGGAGTGTAGACTAGAGGAAAACGACAGCCTCCAGAGGAGCACAGCGAATATAACAATGACATTTCACCTGACTGTGTCCAGCTGTCTTCCTTTATCCCGCGGCGTTATTTTTTGCCTAAACGGTATGCTTACGAGCGGTCGCGAGAGTTGTTTCCTATTTATCTAGAGCGATTCAGTTGTACAAAACCAGGAGACGCGGCCAAAACAAACAAGAATCAGGAGAGACAGAGAGAGAGAGAGAGAGAAAAACAATTCCGGGAAACCTGAGACCTAACTATTATTGCTCCCCCACTCCTCTAAAAACAGTCTTGTTGAAGTATATAAACAATTGTTCTAATCACTTAGCCGTAAGAATTATGATAAATACGTCCTCACACTACGCAAGACGTCGAATGATGAGTATGTTGCGGGATTCGACACTACAAACAAGCCACGAACTGGAGCAACAGGCGATCCTTCCCCGGCAAGACCAGCTTCCCCTGTAAGCCCACTTCACCACTTGCGCATCAGTTCGGCGGCCAAGCCCCACCTTTTCACTCCCGCGATATTCACCGACGCGACGTGGGTCGGACGCGGAAAGCACGTGTTCCTGGTGCAGAACACTGCACGCGGCACACGCACACAGTAGTCCACCCTCCTTGACATGTGCCTACACTTCAAAAACGGGATCCTCATCACCGAAAATAAAACAAAAAGAAAAAATGCTCCCTGGCTGCCCTCCTCCCGTTGCGTGGTCCAGAGGCGATTGCGACGGACTCCTCCTGAAAGCGCACAGAAAAAACATTCCAGGAATCCCCTCCCGCCCTCCCCGGCCTGTGCTCAAGTCCCCCCCTCATCGCGAGTCCCCCCACGTCATCCCGCAGGAGGAGAGAGTGGCGGCAACAGGCGGAGGGGGCAGCCCGCAAAGGAGGCACCGGAACCAGCGAGCGAGCGAGGAGCCCCGTGTACGTAGCGTACCAGGCCGCCAAGACCCCCAAGTGCAAACAAAAACCAAAAGCCGCCGAACCAGTTCACGGACCACCAATTACAGAGCCACCAGCGGCAGCTCTCTTGCAGGTGAGCCGGCGGCGGCGGAGGGGGAGCGCGAGACAAGGAGGCCTCGGGACCTGCCCTCCCCACGGGCCCCCCACCGTCCCCCTCGCTCGCCGTACCTGCCGAGAAAGAACCCTACCTGCCGAGGAGAAGAAAGAGGCGGCGACCCTCCTCGCCTGCTGGGCACCTGCCTTCCCCTCCTCGAGCTCCGCTGCGACGTCCCGAAGCCGGCTTTCAGTCGAAGCGATCCCCTGCCCGTGGACTAGTCGACGCCGGCCTCACCTCCTTGTGGTGCACACTGCGGATTACAACCCTCCGGAGAGCGTGACCCTTGCCGACGTTCGAGTGGTGTCCGAGTGCGTGGCCGCGACTGTCTTCGCCGACCGGGGGCATCCTCCGCCATGACGAGCGGCTCTGTGTAGTTGAGCAGCGTTCGACGCGACCTGTTGTGCTTTGTGGCTTGCGGCGGAGCAGAGAGGGTCTTCTAGTCGCGGCCCGATGGCGGCGGCCAAGCGCTACAGCGCCGGCGGCCCGGGGCGGCTCGAGCCGCTTTCGTTAGGCTTAGCCCTCGCGGTCCTGGTCCTGTGCAGGACAGCCGCGGAGGCCGCCGAAAAGGTACGTACTCTTCTCGTGCGATTGTGCCTCTCTGAATGCGTCGGGTCGAACCAGCTTCCCTGGACCAAATGGCGTGGCACAGGCCGAAATTGCCGAGAAATGCCTGACCAGTTGACCCAATAGGCTCGTGTTCGCCGGCTGACTGTCCAGCTTCACAGTGTTTGGATGCCTTGTCTGTATATACTTCTAACTAGACTGTACAAGAAATATATATCGGGGATTCTCATAGACCAGTTTAGTGCCACGACAATGGCAGAGTGTCGCCAAACACTTTGCCCGTACGTAACCTCATTGCGACGATTGTGATTAAGTAAGGCTATTCAAAAACGCCATCATATTAACCGCTATCATCACACACACACACACATGTTATGCACCACTTCCACGCGTCCAACGTACGCACGCACCACATCTCCAGGAGCGCGCATCGACATCCGAGCCCATGCCCTCCGGCATGGGACAATACGCGTATTTACTCTTTATATCATGTCTACCTGGTTCGGCGCGCATGGTCGAAAGGCCCACGGCCCGGTCCTCTTGCGAAAGCGTCTGTCTCTATACGAAGCGACAAGGTCGGATCACCTTTTGAATGAAGGCCGCTCGAGCACACAAACGAATTCACCGGAAGTCGCTTCGCTTGTTTGCCATACAAAGTCAACAATGGAGGAGGAGAGAAAGACGCGGCGGGACGCAGCTCGCTCCTCCGTGCCTTTTCGTTCTCGTGCAGCGGCGGAGGTCCGTGCGTGAACAGCCACGCAGCCAGCGAAGACGAAGCGACAACCTTGATCCGCTAAGCCGGCCAGCCGCACTGGCCGTTTCCTGTAGCGCGGGGCTGCTCGGTCGAAGTGTTGCGCCAAACCGCTTCCACCGCAGCCCCAGAGGAGGACGTTCGAAACGCATCGTTCGCGAAATGCGGCCTCCTTGCGCAATCCGCAGGTGTCGGAGAACGACAATGGCGACACACTGCACGGCTCGTTCAATTTTTTGTTTAATGCACCTTTCTCGCGGGAATCAAACATCACATTTATATCGAAGGCTTTCGTGCGAGCGGCGCGAATCAGCCGCTCGGCATGCCCTGGTTTTTGTCGATTCTTCGAAGGTCATTGACATAAATTCAATTTGAAATGCCAGTAAGACAGGGGTGCACTTAATTGATGGGGACTCTGTTATAACCTATGCTCTTTCTTGAAAGTTGCGTGTGCTAAAGGTACACGGACGCTTCGCAAAATGCTTCGTTAGCGCGAGATCTCCCGCACGGAAACGAATGCGCTCCCAGAACGCTGGACATAACACTTCAGATATATATATTTTTTATGATGTCGGTGTGTCCTTTATATGCTGCCTTGGAATCATCGTTCAAAAGTTTAACAAAATCGCGTAAATTCGAATTGGTATCCTTTCATCCGTCTGGTGGCATGTCTCTTGGTTAGCGAGGTCTATTCCCAGTTCAATTAACAGCACACCGCTGTGTTTGATTTCGGGTGAGTGGAATTTCGTCATGACACGACAGCGAGTTACCGAGACATCCGTGCTTCGCATGAAGTACGCCAAGCGGTACAAGAAGTAGCTTGGCGCACAGCCTACAATGTACAGATTTTACGGCAAGGCGCAGTCGTATCGCAACCCAAGGCATTCCAACGCAACCGCGTCTAAAGGCTGGTTCACACATTTTTGTTTGATTACGACCGACAACGTTACGACACGTTGCATTGCACTGCGATACGTTGCACAGACGTCGGTTGTCATAGCAACCTGTAGTAGTCGCATCTCGTCGTAGGCAGTAAGTCACTCATAAGCGATCGTAACGTGGTCGATCGTATACACAAAACACGAATGGCTGAGCCTGGCCTTTATAGTGTTGGAGTTGCGAGTACCGCAATGGAAACATGATTATGTGACATAATTTAAGAAAAAGGTTAAAAAAATAATGTCAATTAAAATTACGCATTGTGATGGCAGAAATTTTGTACCGCAAATTGTTCAATACAGCTTCATTAAGCTACCAAAATGTTTCATGATCCTGGATACTAGGCCATTCAATGTCAGGCATATTTGCTACGTGGATCTACAGCAAACATATGGAAACACCAAGAAAAAAGTCGCCTTCGGCGCTGACAAATTACCAAAGCGGGATTGTCTTTTCTGACGGAAGCAATATTAGTTTTTAGACAGATTAGTCTCCAGCATAATATCCCGCGCCAGGCATGTGCTTGTTAATATTTCCTTCGTTTTTTTTATGCATGAAACTTGTTTTTTTTGTGTTTTTTTTCTCGTGAAGCAGCCATTTTGCTTTGCCAGACGTCGGTTTAAACACACATGCTATCAAAACACACACGCATGCACAAGTACATGACGCGAACGGAAAGGCGAAGTCTACGGGCTATACGCAATAGTTTTACTACACCTCAAAATGTGAAATTAAGTATACGTTCGTCGGGATACTTCAAAAGATTAATGACTTTGTTACAAATAAACTATAACCGATAGCAACGAGTCTGGGATGGAACAACAACAAAAAAAAAATATATAAATCTACCTATACTAATAAAATACTCTAGAAGTATAGAAGCCCCACGGGCTAAGGTTTGTCAATTTAATGAAGGCCCAACTGGCGAAATTCGCTCGAAAAATCGATTAGCGTTAGTTGATTAGCGCTGCAAGGATGAGTTTCTGGATTGGCGTTTCCCCGCCAAGAAACGCTTCCTCAAAGATAACTGGATAAGGCTAAAACACAAAAAATACATTTGTTTTTTTGTAAGACGGAAATATGTGTGTGTGTTTGGGGGGGGGGGGGGGGAAGGGGGGGATGCCTCGTGATCTTTTTTTATTTTTTTTTTATTAATTATGTCGTCGGAGATTCTAGGATCTGAGAGGCTGCCCGGTGCCGATATGTGATCTATAGGGAGCCAATGAGATGGATAGCAACATCACCTGTGAAGGGGACACAGATAGTAATGGTAGAGAGCGGTAGGAGTATACCTACTATACTTTTCATACGGCGCATTCACACTGGCAGATGAACTCCTTTCGTCAAGCAGCTACAAGACACCATTTAAATTCGGTTGCACTGAGTGCTAACTATGCAGGAGACCGCGCGGCACAATACTAGCTTAGGCGTAAATACTCTTCCCAGCTGCCACTGGTTGTTTATCTGGCCAAAAATAAACTTCTTAGCATCAGGAAGGAAGTTTTCGTTGCGACAACTAACTTTATAAAGTAACGTAAGTGAACAGGCGCGCTAGTTCGGTACTAAAATGACATCCCAAGGACTTCGAGACTAGTTTTATCGCGATGTCTTTTTTCTTTTCTTTCATCTCACCAATCTCGGGGTTTCTGAAACGTAACGTCTAAGATGGCGCAACGCATTGTTTGCAGCGTTGTTGTTGTACTGCTAAGATTACGGCTCAAAATACAGGAAACAAAACCAATGCTCCACGTTTCGGGCATCGCTGCAGACGTTAACTGGACAAGAATCTTATATATACGAGTTTTACGGTGCCTTCAGCTATGACGTTGACGAAGCGCATTTCATTCGGGCGGGGAGTAGACAGGAGAGAGGAGGTTTTGTACGCAAAAACGGCGACGGGCAAGAAAACTGGTTCAGCTGGTTCACAGGCTTCGACTGGAACGGCGCTGAGTCGTCGGAATTCTCAATGCCGGGGGAAGGGATGATCGAAATTCTAGAACTCGCGGAGACGGGAAGATTGGAGCGGAGGACGTCGTTAAAACAAAAAATCCAATTAGCGCGTTTTGACGTTGGCAAAAAAACCCGCGCAATGTACGCAAACGATTCGAAGTATGCAGCGAGATTGAGGGCCTATAAGTAAGCCGTCTTACGTGCATTTAAAACCTTCTTATTACCCGAGACACGCATAACTGAGTAGACACAAGATGGAAAACCGGGCGTCGTTCTTTTGCATATATTTTCTTGATATCAGGACACCTATACCCGAAGGCCAGCTGCTTTTTTCAACATTATATTGTTTTCACGAGCAAAATAAAATGTATACATGAAGTAGACTGAACCACATCGGGTAAGCGACTATGTAAACCGTAGTTTGAAAGTTCTATAAAGAAAACGCCCGGAAGCTCGATAAAAATGCCACAATAATTTATTTCTTCGGCATATAAATCTGTTGTTTGAATAAGGGTTCCCAAAGAAAATCTCAACGTCCATTCAAATACAGGTAAGTAATAATATACAGATACCTTCCCATAATTTTTACTATTATTCTGTTAGCAGAAATCAAAGTGGGCATAGGAAACTAAAAGCGGACGTTTAGGACGTCAAAATTAATATGAATTGAAAAGAAACAAAAATGTCTCCTGTGTCGGCACTTTATAACCACCACCCCAATAACGAAACAAAGGGAAAAACTTCATAGGTCGCATCTTTTTACACACCTTAATGATTGTTATGAGAATGCGTAACACCCGGAAGGTTTATCCCTCGTCCGTGGCCAAAAGTAGTTCGCTTGCTACGTGTGGCGCACTCTCACTGCATACATCAACGAATTAGTTATTGTCGTGGTAGGTAAACTATTTTGTAAAGTATAGTTATAAATTGTTATCATCAAACAAAATGAACTCGAAGACAGCTGAACATGTCAAAGAAGAGTAGGCACTCGCGGTCTCACTTTAATGTCACAAGGAGGCTGCAAACTCGCAGCTCTGGTCAATTCTCTCGCGCTCGTGCACCTGCAGAAAAACTTTCAAACAAAGGCACTTGAGCTCGTAGCCTCAGCTGAACTAGCCTGCAAAAAATTGAAACATTCAGGGATTTTCACAAACTTTCAGAAGCTCGGTAAAATTGTGAAGTCCAGAAACTATATAACCCATGCCCTGTCTCTTTATCAAAAATACCATTTTTTTATGGCCTGCAGTTTCAGACCTCGACTTTTGCTTCGTATAACAAAGAACTGTACAAAAAGCCAACAACTCAACCCAAAAATCTAAGCTAAACAACGAGAAAAAAAAACATTTTGAAATTTTTAGTAGCG